GACAAAATAAATTATCCTCCTCGACCTATCTGCCACATTCGATATGGTCGACCACGCTGTCCTCCTCCACCGCTTGTCCTCTCACCTCAACCTTCAAGGTCCTGTCCTTGAGTGGTTTAGCTCCTACCTCTCCCACCATCTTCATTTTGTCTCCGCTAACGGCTTTTCCTCCGGCCCCAGCACTGTCTCGTGCGGTGTCCCTCAGGGCTCTGTCCTCGGTTCCCTCCTCTTCACCCTCTATATGCTCCCCCTGTGGTGACATCATCGCAGACATGGGGTTAACTTCCACATGTATGCGGATGACACCCAACTCTACCTTTCCTCTTCTACCCTCAAGTCCACGACCACCGATGTGCTGACAGCTGCCTGTCCGACATCGAGTCCTGGACGAGAGACAACTTTCTTCAGCTCAACGTGCGCAAAACTGAGGCCCTCCTGATTGGGTCGCGTCAGCGCCTCCGCACCTCAGGCGCTGACAGCGTCAACATCGAAGGCTGCACTCTCCACCTCTCAAAGCCAATCAGGAACCTCGGGGTTCTGTTCGACCCTGAGCTGTCCTTTCTTCCTCATATCCGCACCACAACTGGCACCGCCTTCCATCACCTCCGGAACATCGCCAGACTACGGCACTACCTCACCCCTCACGCTGCTGAAACACTGGTCCACGCCTTTGTCACCTCAAGGTTGGATGATGGGAACTCTCTCCTCGTTGGCCTTCCCGCCACCTCCCTCCACACGCTGCAGGTCATTCAGAACTCTGCAGCTCGTGTACTGTCCCGCACCAGGCTTCGGGACCACATCACTCCCACCCTCGCTCGCCTCCACTGGCTCCCCATCCCCCAGAGGATTGATTTCAAGATCCTCATCCTCACCTACAAGGCCATTCACGGCCTTGCACGCTCTACCTCTCTGACCTACTATCTCCCTACTTACCTGCCAGTAACCCTCCGTCCCTCTGGCTCCGGTCTGCTCCACATCCCCTGCCCTAACCGCCCTACCATCGGTGGCCGGGCTTTCAGCCTCTCAGCCCCTGGGCTCTGGAACGCCATCCCCCAGTGCCTTCGCTTTGCTTCCTCCCTTTCCTCCTTCAAGGCCGGTTTCAAGATCTTTCTCTTCAACCGTGCCTTCAACTCCCCTCTCGACTCTCTACCCCCTACTCGCTCCCTCCCTTCCCTTCCCTCACCCTGACCATTTTCCCACTGCTCGGGTCCCGACCCAACTGTCCAGCGCCTTGGGACGTCCTCCCGACGTGAAAGGCGCTCTATAAATGCAATCTTCTTGTTGTTGTTGTTATTACTTAAATATGGGTTGATAAAGGACAGTCAACACGGATTTGTTAAAGGCAAATCATATCTAACAAACCTGATAGTTTTTTTTAATAGGGTGGATGAACGTAGTGCAGTTTATGTAGTTTATATGAATTTTTAAAAGGTGTTTGATAAAATGCCACATAAGAGACTTGTAAGCAAAATAGAAGCCCACGGTATTAAAGGGACAGTGGCAGCATGGATACAGAAATGGCTGGGAGACAGAAAGCAGAGAGTGGTGGTGAACAGTTGTTTTTCTGACTGGAGGGAAGTGTGCAGTGGTGTCCTCCAGGGGTCAGTATTGGGACCACTGCTGTTTTTGATCTGTGTAAATGACCTGGACTTATAGGGAGTACATTTTCCAAGTTTGCAGATGATACTAAGCTAGGAAAAGTAGTACATGGTGAGGAGGATAGCAGCAGACTGCACATGGGCATAGACAGCTTCGTAAAATGGGCCGACACGTGGCAGATGCAGTTTAATATGGAGAAATTCAAAGTGATGCATTTTGGGAGGAAGAATGAGGAGAGGCCATATAAGCTGATGGTACAATCTTAAAGCGGGGGAAGGAACAGAGAGACCTGGGGGTTCATATAAGTAAATCTTTGAAGGTGGCAGGACAGGTAGATAAAGCTGTTTTTAAAAAAAAGCATATGGGATACGAGGCTTTATAAATAGGGTCATAGAATACAAAAGTCAGGAAGTTATGATGAACCTTTATAAAACACTGGTTACGTCTCAGCGAGAGACTGTTCAGTTCTGGGCAACACACTTTAGGAAGGATGTCAAGGCATTGAAGAAGGTGCAAAGGACATTTATCAGGATGGTACCAGGAATGAGGGGCTTCAGTTATGAGGAGAGGCTAGGGAAGCTAGGATTGTTTTCCTTGGAGCAGAAGAAGTTAAGAGGAGACTTAATAGAAGGTTTCAAAATTATGAGGGCATTCAATAGGTTGAACAAGAATAAACTATTTCCACAGGCAGGTGGGTCAGTAACCCAAGGACACCGATTTAAAATAGTTTTAAAAGAAACAGAGGGAAGATGAGGAGAATTTTTTTCACACAACAAAAATTATAATTATAGAGCACCTTTCACGTTGGTAGGATGTCCCAAAGAGCTGAACTGTCAGATGTCAGGATTCAACCATGGTGGAGGGGTGGTTTAGAGGTGAGGGACGGCAGAGAGGTGGGAGGGAGACCAAAGGCACGGTCGAAGAGAACGGTCTTGAGACCAGCCTTGAAGGATGTAAGGGAGGAAGCGAGGCGAAGGGACCGTGGGATGGAGTTCCAGAGTGTGGGGCAGAGAGGGTGAAAGCTCGGCCACCGATGGTAGGGCGCCCCGATGGTGGGAGACATGGAGCAGGCCGGAGCCTGATGAAAGGAGGGAGCGGGCAGGTTGGTAGGGAGTCAGCAGCTCAGAGAGGTAGGAGGGGGCAAGGCCATGGATGGTCTTAAAGGTGAGGACAAGGATCTTGAACTCGATTCTCTGGGGGATGGGAGCCAGTGGTGTCGGGCGAAGGTGGGAGTGATGGGGTTGCGGAGCCTGGTGTGCGAGAGTACATGAGCTGCAGAGTTTTGGATGATCTGCAGCTTGTGAAGGGAAGAGTTGTTCGGATCTGGAATGCATTGCCTGAAATGGTGGTGGAAGCCAATTCAATAACAATTTTTAAGGGACAAGTAGATAATTATTTGGGGAGGACAAGTTTGCAGGGCTTTGGGAAGAGATTGGGATTGATTTGGATAGCTCTTTTCAAAGAGCCAGCACAGACACGATGGGCCGAATGGCCTCCTTCTGTGCTGTATGTGATTCCATGCTAACACCTTACACCAGTGGTGGGCAACCTTTTTGGTCAGCCAAACAAATAATTTTTTTTGATTGAATATTTCTTAATTGATTGGCCATCCATAAACATTGTCACTCAGAAGCTACTGGAAATAAAACACTGATTTAAAAGACTCACCTTAACTAGTGCAAATGTTGGGGGCCACTTCTTGAAGGCCCTGTGGGCCACTTCCAGCCCATGGACCATGGGTTGGCCACCACTTTCTTACACATTAGAAGAATGACTCACAGTGCTTTGCAAAGCTGGCTGAGCATCTGAATGGGGTTGGGGGGATGGGGGGGGGGGGGGAGAGAGAAAAATGAACAAACGGCAGTCAAACAAGTTCCTATTAAACTTCTATATAAATTACCTGTACTTGGGTATAGGGAGTGCAATTTCCAAGTTTGCAGATGATACTAAGCTAGGAAAAGTAGTAAACAGTGAGGAGGATAGTAGTAGAATACAAGAGGACGTAGATAGACTGGTAAAATGGGCAGACACATGGGTGAACAAGGAGAAACTATTTCCGCTGGCGGATGGGTCGGTAACCCGAGGACTCCGATTTACAATAGTTGTTGAAAGAAACAAAGGGGAGGTGAGGAGAAATTTTTTCACATAGCGAGTTGTTTGAATCTGGAATGCATTGCCTGAAAGGGTGGTGGAAGCCAATTTGATACCAACTTTTAAGAGAGTAGATAATTATTTGGGGAGGACAAGTTTGCAGAGGGAGTGGGATTGATTTGGATAGCTCTTTTCTGGACAGGATGGGACAAATGTCCTCTTTCTGTGCTGTATAATTCTATAATTCTTCTCGTCCCTTCGAGTCCCAACCCCATCTTGGGTGCCCAGCCAGCAGTGCTGAGTGCTTTCAGAGCTGTCCTGCCAATGTGAAAGGTATTGTACGAATGCAAATTGTTGTGTGCATGCCATTAGGTAGGGTGACCATATTTTGTAAGCCAAATCCTGCAACGCATATATATTGTGAAGTCCTGTAGTTTAGTGGTTAGAGCACTTGCCTCACAAGTGAGAGGACCTGGGTTCGATTCCTGGGCAGGGCGAAACTTTAGGCAAGTTTCCTTATTCCACACACTTCTGTTTACCTAGCAGTATGTAGGAACCTGATTGTGGATTGCTTTTCTGGTGGTAATAATCCCTTCAAAAATAATAATAATTTGGTCACTCAATCCCCGACTGTTTGTGGGACACTGCTGTGCACACTTTACAGTATATTCTATGAAGCGCTTTGGGATGTCTTGAAGATATAAGGCACTATATCAAATGCAAGGATTATTATATTAAGAAATTGAACTTGCCACAATTCCTGATGCAGGCAGTACTGGAGAAGCTTGTTGGACTGATGGCTGCATTTCTCTGATGAGTGTATTGTCTTAGAAATGTATTGTTCTTGCTCAATTTGTTGAAAAAATTTGACAGGGACACAATGCCTCATCTGGGGAGAATTGGGGAGGACAAGCTTGCAGGGCTATGGAGAGAGCGCAGGGGAGTGGGATTGACTTGGATACCTCTTTTAAAAGAGTCAGCAGACAGAATGGCCTAAATGGCCTCCTTCTGTGCTGTATAATTCTAAGTGTGGTACCCTATATTAGGTATTTGTGAGCATGAATCTCACAGCTCTTCCTTGACCTGTGGAAACCTTGGCAATGGACAGTAACCCAAGTTAATGGGAATTGACCAGTTTTATTGGTTTAGTTGGCGGCACTTTGAGACTGGTTTGGGATTGCAGCCACTTGTTGCCAGTATAAAAGATGGCGGTCGCGGGTTGTGACAGTTCCGGTGGAGAGGGATAACGTGGGAGGAGTAGTTTTGCCTGCTTCCGGTTGACCTTTGCTTCCTACTCCCCCCACGGCCGCTGTTGTCCACCATATTGGGTTGAGTTGCCCGGAGCGATGGAGGAGACGAAGCGGGAAAGTGAAAAGTTCGTTTTAGCGAGGATGAGCTGCGTCGAGGAGAAACGAGCCGCCGGCCGTAGGAAGAAAAATAATAACAATAGCAGCAGTGGTGGTGGAGGAGGCGGCGTTAGCGCGGCGGTCCCCCGAGAGAACTGGAGCCCCATCCTGGCCGGGGAGTCGCCGAGCCTTGAGCACGGCAAACAGCGGGGGATGGGGACGGGTACAGGCCCAGACTGGGCTGGGGAGCAGGTAAAGAGCTGATGCCCACAGGGGGGAAAGAGTCTGCGGGGAAGTCGGGGCTCCTGTTCACAGGAGAGATCGGGGTAACTCGGTGAATCCTGTACTTTCATTTTCATGCCCTTTTTAAGCTGGAGATTTTTTCAAATTATATTTAATTTAATGGCTCTATTTTCGTAAAGCAAATGCTGCCAGGTGTGCGCCACCTTGCGTGGTGTGTGTGTTGGAAGGGGGCGGAGTGTCTGTACTATTGACTTGGGGGCTGATCTGCTGATTGATGAGAACCGCGCAAGAGACCTGGATAAGTCCTGTCACTCGCAACTATCCTTTTAAACTTCTGAACTGTTCAATTCAGTACGTTTATTCTCTACCCCCTCCCCTTTAAATGTCAAACTCTGAAGTGTTCTTGACTCTTCCTTTCAAATACGTTTCGCCGGTGCATCAGGGCCACAATCGGTGCAAAAATCTCTTTCCCGGAACTGTGATAGAAACTTCTTATATATTTTGTACACAGGTGTGTTTTCTAAGTTTGTAAAAGCACAACACAACCGGGATGCACTTACTTTGCAAAGCATTCACCAGGCTAGACATCCAGTTTGTCGTCTTGCCTTTAGTCCAACTAGGATTGGCACGTTTGCTAAACGTGGCTTAGTTTACTGAAACAGTCTCTCCTTTAGGGTTGTCGATTTGTTACTAATTGTTCTAAGCTTGGTTAAGCAGAGCAATCTCTTCCTGTCATTTGTAGGTTACTAAATGCACTGAGTTTTCAATACTTTTTGTAAATTAGGTTTCACAGGCCAGTTGGTTTTTGCACCTTGTACATTATAAGCTTTGAAATATGTTCTGCTTTAAAGCGACAAATCCTTAATATATCGATGTAGTTCATAATGAATAGCGGCTGTATTGGTTGTCTTTTATATTATGGCACATACTTGCTCTAAGAGACTGCCTTGGTATCCTAAGGCATCTATTACAACCATGTGTGCCACACAATGGTTTAATAAAATGGGTGGAATGCCACAAATCCAGCCTTAATTAGGCCATAGTCAAATGCTTGTATAATTGCTTCTCTGGAGAGGATTGTAAATATGGTAAACTGAATATGTTGCAGTGGATTAATTGTTTTTTTTATTCAGTTTGAACAGTGAGCTATCATCATCTCCATGCAGGGAATGCTCCCAATGCCTCACATCTGGCCCATGTGAACCGGAAGGTGATGTTTTGCTTGCCCTACTGCATTCCTGTTTGTATTTTTATTATTTTTGTTTAGTTTTTTCTCGATGTGTCCCTGTCACGATACTGTTTCATATATTTTCCATAAACTGCTCACTTTCAGATATTTTTTTCTGGGTTGTTGTCATATCTGATGTTGCTACAAACTATAGGTTCCACTGTTTATTTTCTAATCTTAGATTCCCTGTGCCACCTTTCCTGGCTGTGACCTGATTTCCCCAGGCTCCACCTTACTGTCACCCATTCTAACTTGAATAATATTAGCAGACCCAGTGTGGACCAGAAAGCTGACAGATGGCTGCAGGTATTTGCACAATGGAACAGCGATGAGGTTGGTCTTGACCTATTAAGCCAGTCAGGAACCTGGGTATCTTGTTTGACCCTGAACTGTCCTTTCTCCCCCATATCCACGCCATGACCGGCACTGCCTACTACCACCTCCAACATTGCCAGACTCCGCCACTGCCTACTACCACCTCCAACATTGCCAGACTCCGCCACTGCCTACTACCACCTCCAACATTGCCAGACTCCGCCACTGCCTCACCCCTCAGGCTGCCGAAACCCTCACCCACACATTCGTCACATCAAGGTTCGATTACGGGAACTCCCTCCTCATCGGCCTTCCCAACGCTGCAGATCATCGAAAACTCTGCAGCTCGTGTACTCTCACGCACCAGGCTCCGTGACCCCATCACTCCCACCCTCGCCCGACTCCACTGGCTCCAGAGGATTGAGTTCAAGATCCTCGTCCTCACCTTTAAGGCTATCCATGGCCTTGCCCCCTCCTAACTCTCCAATCTATTGAGTCCCTACCAATCTGCCCGCTCCCTCCGTTCATCAGGCTCTGGCCATGTCTCCATGTCTCCCGCCCTACCAGCGGTGTCCTTTCAGCCTCTCTGCCCCCACAGTCTGGAACTCCATCCCACGGTCCCTTCGCCTCGCTTTCTCCCTTGCCTCCTTCAAGGCCGGTCTCAAGACCCTTCTCTTCGACCGTACCTTTGGTCGCCCTCCCACCTCGCTGCCATCCCTCACCCCTACTCCACCCCTCCCCCATGCTTGGGCCCCAACACCAGAATGTTCAACGCTTTGGGACGTCCTCCCAACGTAAAAGGCACTCTATAAATAATTTTGTTGTTGTTCCAATCACAAAACAATACCTCAATATTGGCTGTGGTATTTCTTTATCAATAAGTGTTGTTGGGAAGATGATGCCATGCAAACTTTTCCTTCCCCATTTTCTCCCGGCATCTCTCTTCTCTCTTCCACCCCACACCCCACCCCCCGCCCAGTTTCATTCAGTCAGTTGATCTTGCGAGGGTTCATGATAATCTCCATAATCTTTCGGTACAGTTGAACGGGGATAGTTTGTGCGGCTTTGCTGTGTTCTGCTGGTAACTGTTGCATAACTGCTATAGCAACAATGTTAATGCTGTATTAGACATTGCTCTTTACATTATTTTTCAGTAAGCAGTTGGTTCAGGTCAGTGGATTATATATAAAAGTACAAAATGCCGACTTTATGGATGGACTGGGGTGGCAGAAAATAAGATGAGTTGGGATGCATTAACCCAAGTCCCAGAAAGGCAAATTAGTTATATGCAATTTTCTTAAATTAGCAATCTTTCCAATTTATAATGGAGTTTACAGAAGTGTCAGTTTACCCTGTGTTCAGTGTGTGATATAATTATCCATAGATGACTGTGTCAGATAACCTGACATGTTAGTTCGCATGCGTACAGTATAAAGAAAATGGGAAGAATGTGTAGTCAAGTGCTGAATTCTGAAGATGCATTTATCCGGAATTCACTTCTTGCAAGTCCTGACAAGCAGTAATAAGTTACTAGGCCTGATCTGCTCATCTCATAATGGTTGTAGGTAAATTAATGTAGCAGTGACGTATAATTGCCAATTGTATATATTTTTAATGATGATCTTTGAATTTTTATTAGGATTAGAGTTCCTCAGATTATCATCTCCAACCTGGGGGCCTTCTCTGGCGCTTCTGCCATCTCTGCTTTAAAACTATCTGCTTGAAGGTGTGTGAAAGTGGAGGAGTGTTAACTCTCCTTGACTGTTCTGAAGTGTTTAATCTCTGCTCAGTGCTTCATTCCACAACTGTGCAATTAAAATGATGGCTACAAGATCCATCAAAATGAACCCTATCCCCATCATTCTGTGGCATCGAACACTGGCACCTTCATGTCTTCTTGCCAAATTTCAATAAATTATGTGCAGTAATGTCCCCCAGAGGTCAGTATTGGGACCACTGCTCTTTTTGATCCATATAAATGACCTAGACTTGGGTACAGGGAGTATAATTTCTAAGTTTGCAAATGATACTAAGCTATAAAAAGTAGTAAGCAATAAGGAGGATAGTAGCAGACTGGTAACATGGGTAGACATGTGGCAGATGAAGTTTGATGTGGAGAAATGCAAAGTAATGCATTTTGGGAGGAAGAATGAGGAGAGGCAATATAAGCTGATGGTACAATCTTAAAGGGGGTGAAGGAACAGAGCGACCTAGGGTTTTATATAAGTAAATATTTGAAGGTGGCAACTCAGGTTGTTAAAAAAGCATACGGGATACTAGGTTTTATAAATGGGGGCATAGAATACAAAAGTCAGGAAGTTATGATGAACCTTTATAAAACACTGGTTTGGCCTCAGCTCGTGTTCAGTTCTGGGCACCACACTTTAGGAAGGATGTTAAGGACCAGGAATGAGGAACTTCAGTTATCAGAAGAGGCTAGCAAAGCTAGGATTATTCTCCTTGGAGTAGAGAAGTTTAAGAGGAGACTTAAAAGAAGTTTTAAAATTATGAGGGAATTTGATAGGGTAAACAAGGAGAAACTATTTCCACTGGCGGGTGGGTCGGTAACCCGAGGACACCGATTTAAAAAGTTGTTAAAAAAAAAAGCAGGGGAGGTGAGGAGACATTTTTCACGCAGCGAGTGCATTGCCTGAAAGAGTGGTGGAAGTTGATGCGATAATAACTTTTAAGAGAGATGTAGATAATTATATGGGGAGGACAAGTTTGCAGGGCTATCGAGAAAGAGCAGGGCAGTGGGATCGATTTGTATAGCTCCTTTCAAAGAGTCGGCACAGACACGATGAGCCGAATAATAATAATAATATTCCTTGCACTTGATATAGCTTTTTTCACATCTTCTAGATGTCTCAAAGCATTTCACTGTAAAGTGAATTGACTGTATATTTGTGGGTGAAATGCCTCCATCTGTGCTGTATGATTCTATGTAAATTGCTCCAATGTCCGTACACTGCTTGGGACATGATTCTGCTCTTATATAATTGGGCAATAAGAGACAAATGAATCTTGGTGAGCTCTGAGGGTTGTGTGGGAGTATTGGGATTGTTTGTTTCAATTCAGGACCCAATCCGGTCCTGAATTTTGTTTTGCATTGTTGGTATGAGATTGTTGAACACTCAGATCCAGGCTGAGTTTTTGGCGTCTTCTTGGGACACATGCCCAGGAACTGATCGACTTTCAAACCCCTACCTGTATTCTGAACTAGCTGTTAAGTTTGTGTCCGTAGCCAAGAATCAGTTTTTTTTTGTCCATTGCTCTCCTTTATGGTGGACCTACGTTTCTATTGAAGGTTTTTTACCACAGTATAGCTGATGTGGCTTTTTGGCAGTAGTGGGTGCTAAAAGCGCTACATACGGAATGGATTTTACCAGGCATAGGATGACTATACTGAAGCCAGTCTGGACTGGGGCACGTATGGGATTTACTATATCTGGTAGTTCATATTGAA